AGAAAAGGGACGGTGTCAAGTTGGTATCCTGAAAGATAGAAGGGAAATCACAGGAGCGGAAATCTGTGTTTGGTTGGAGTTCCCTAGTTTATCACACAGTTGTCTGCACAGTAACCTCTAAAGCGAATTAAAGGCCATTGGGATGGGGATCGACCACTTATCACCGAAAGCTTCTTCGACCTGTCGTTGCCGCAGCCAGTGGCTTGTGGCTTGGACGGAAGTCCAGCAAATCTTGGTGTATCCTGCTGATGTGCTGGACTGGAGTGTTAGGGTTTCTTCGCATTTTGCCGATACTTAGGACGGTTGTCGTTCAACCAGCAAAAGGGATTCGTTTTGGCAGGTCTCACCAAGCGAGTTTTTTGCCGCCAAGAAGAAGCGACGCAGACGGCTCGTTTTTGCGGGTCCAAGCGAAGCCTCGAAGAGCAACAGCACCGCAGGCCCAGCGAGGAGTTTGGACTTGGCCATTCTGAACCTGGAGCACAAGAACCTGCTATCCCAGTCCAAGGATCGTGAATTGCCTCCGATCGCTTTGCGTTCGGCCTGGTCTGGGAGTAGGTTGTCTCTGAATTTTGAGTAGGTGGAGAGGCCCCGATTTTTTTTTTTTGTGAGGGGGGGTGTCCCTATATAGTTTGGAGCCCTGGTTGTGGCCAATGTGGGCAAACAATAGCGAGCTCATTTGCGGGATTTGCTTGTGCGCTTTGGGAACTATAGTCTGCCCTGATCCATTCACTTTCGAAGCCCGCCATCCCATATGTGTCACCATTTAGAGGTACAGATTTGTCCAATATGAAACTTGTCGCGCATGTGGAGCCACGGATCACTGGCGGCGTATCAGCGGCGAGTCGCGCTCAGGTGCAGTTTTGCTGAAGGCCCCTGCGATATTGTTGGTCTGGGGATATTGAGACTACACCCTTAAACACAGCCCAGAGGGGTTTATTTGGAATATTAGGTGCCGAGAGGCAGTTGTTTAGTGGGCTTCATGCCAGGGTGCTCAGACTCGGACAAAAAACACAAGAAACACTGGTGGGTGCAGGCATCCACGAAACACTAGTAAAACATGTCATTTTGTGAAAAGATGACGTTGTGTGAGCAATTTCATGCCGCGCCGCTCGATGTAAGCTGCTGCTGTGGTTTTCTGCACGCTCCATTTTAGTCCTTCCACAAGGAAATAGAAGACTCGTTGCCCAAAACCCACCAACCATCACCTAAACCGGCTGTGCCGGTCCCGGGATCCTTTTGTGGACCCAACAAAAATTCGGTGCTTCGTCCGGTTCGCGGCGCAAGCGCGGCGCAAGCGCGACGCGCAGGAGATGCGGCACCAGATGGATGTAGTGAAGCAGCAGCTGGGCCTGCTGCTCAGGAGCTGTCCGAGCAAAATCTGTGCCGAAAGCGGACGGAAGAACATTGTGCGATCGGTGCGATAGGGAATGAAACATGTAAGAAACCCAGGCCTTTGCTCCCCTCAAAGGAAACCCATAGATGTGTATAAGGGTCATTCCAATTCTCATTCTTTGCCGGTCGCACCAGTAGGACATGTTGGTTCTACTTTGGATTCCCAACAAAACCCAAGCCTAAACATGGGCACTCTTGAACAAAGACGCACCCAAACAAACACACACACACACACAAAAAAACAAACGCACAAACACAAGCAAAGCAGGAACCCAATGGAGACTGTGAGACCTTATTAATGATAGATGGCATCTGTTGTTCCACCGCAAAACGGGATGGGTGGGTGGGTGGGTGTGGGTGGGTGGGTGGGTGGATGGATGGATGGATGGATTCTGGATGGATTTCTCCCATTTTGTCCGGGCCCGGAACCCCCCCCCTGACGCGCCGGGAAACCCGAAAGGCGCAAGAATCGTTTACGTTTGGTTTGGAACACCTTGGCAATTCGTGAGCGTCCACTTGGATGGCTTCTTGGACTCAAGCCAAACTCCCTAAAACGCACTGGATGATAGTCAGCGATCTCGCTCCACATATTTCCCGGTCCCTTCGAGGGGTTCGGCCGGGTTTGGAATTCGACATGACTTGGCCTCACGGCAGTACAGGACAGTCGCAGTTGATATGTGTGCGCGGATGTCTCGTGTTGAGTATCAGGTGCTCTCTCCATGTTTTTTTGCCACACTGGGGTCTCCTTTGCGGACCGCGAGGGAGCCGAACTTTACAAGACCAGTTTCCTTTGGAGTGAGTGACCAGAATCCTAGCCACTGCACAGGTTGATTTCCCAGCGGCCTTTGCTTCCGGGGGGCTCCCCGTGACTGCCAGTTTTCAACGATCAATATGTGGTTGGGGGCCTTCCTCACTCAGACCCATCATGAATTCGTGTAAAAACTCTTTCCACCACCCCAAAGCGTTAGGGTTCAGGGGCTCAGGTTTTTCTAGTAGCCTCTATTGATTTTTATCAAGGCCTACTAGAAGAACTAGAACAAGGGTTAGGGTTCCTCCAATTATTTCCCCTCACTTGAAGGCACCGAAGTACACAGAAACCGATGGGGTGACCTTCCATCGATTCCAAGTCCAGGACTCAGATGGACTTGGCGGTGACTTTTGAGGCTTAAGCGCTGGGGCCCGCGGCTTGACACAACCCGGCCGGTCGCAGGCAAAAGGTGGCCTTCGTGTAGTTGTTGCGCCTTTTGGCTTTGTTTAAAACGGGACGTCAAAGAAAGTTTGTTTGCTTTTTTTTTTGGGGGGGGGGGGCTCGATTTTGAGGCAATCCTCAAGGGTGTTTCGTCCCAAGCTGCCCGGAAGCAATGATCCAAGAATGATCATGTTGCAGCCCTTTCTTCTTGTCATGTTTTTGTTTTTTGGAGGCTACCCTTTTCGGGGGGTGGTTGAAAGTGACCAACCGTTTTGGGGGCCCCCTTGTTTTGACACATACCCATAAAAACATATTGTATATGTCACAAGTGTGTCTTCCCCTTTTCAAGACTGGTTTGATTTTGTGGAAAGGAGCCCATTCCTGGCAAGTATCACTAGACAGAAGAAACGACAATCGACCTTTGAAGTTGGGTTTGTGTTGCCCAACTTAGAGGTTCGGTCAAGAGATCGAGTCTGCATGGTGAATTTGGGAGGGACATTCGGGAAGCCCAGGGCGCTCGCGCATTTTGACCGTGGCTCATATGGATATGGGGCTGGCAAGGAAACGTTGGGAGTACTGGCTCATCCACTTGAAGGTTGATATGGTAGGGATTCTAAGGACCGTTACCGACCGACCAGTCTGGCTGGCACATTGTCCGAAGTTGTGCATTTCCCGTGCTGTACATGAGTGCGTCGTCGATCACTGCTAAGCAGTGGACATTTTGCCCGGAGAGTTGCAGAAGCTGCCAAGGAGAAATGTTAAAACATCCGCAGGACGTGCCCTACTATGAGTGCTGCAAAGTTACTTCTGGGGGTGTCGCTTTAAATCACCATGAGGCTAATTTTGAGGATGTCACTTTGTTGAATGGTTCATTACTCACAGGAGGTTCCATCAACATATTATCCATGGTCCATTTGGGAGGGATGAGAAGGCGGGACTCGCTAAATTTCGCACAAAAGCCGGTGCACACAACCTCATTGTCCCATGTCCTGTGAGGGAATATGATTATGCTGACCGTGGCTCACTTTGATGAATGCGTCAACACTAAGAACCCCTTTCCATTTGAAAGGGAACCCAGAACAGAATCACAAATGAAAGGATCCGCGTGTTGTTGGTAGGCAGACCATAGCGTGACGGCCTATCAAGCTGGTCACATGGAGGATCACGTTCAGCATCCCTATATAGGGTGCCTTCAAATGGTGCAAGAAATCTTCCGTTCGGGAACGGCGTTTCTCTGGGCCGCTGAAGCGTCCAATGCGCCAGCCCATGGAAACACCAGCGGGAGCTTCTAGAACCCTCCAGCGATAGAACTCTAGAAGAGAGATTTGCGGTGGCTCGCCTTTCTTCTTGCAGCTTGGAACCCCCAAAAGTGGGGTGTTGCGGATCCTTTGTGTTTCCCTTTAAGGCCATGAAAAGACGAGCCATGTTTCACTGTCGCTCTTCGGCTCCTGACCTTGAGCGGTTTCCGGCAGGGCTGGGGGCCTGAATTCCTAAAAAAGCAAAGGCCCCTATCCCACGTTGGTATCACGGAAAGACACCAAGTGTTGCGAATTCTTACCCAGAGGCTCGGATCACACAATCACTCTTCTGGACGTGTTAACAGATTCTTACTAAGAGACCGAGAGGGATGCGCCATTTTGGCATATGGATTCTGTTGTGGGGGACCGGTATTCCAACCGAGTCCGATCTTTGTGTTAGTGTCCCTTGGCAAAGAGCCGGCCTGCACTGAGCGTGATGAACGGGCTGGCCTGAGCGCGAACAGGGTCCACCCACCGATACAAGGTGGTTAGTGCCCTTCCACCAATTAACATGGAACCTGGTAGGGGCTGGAAGATCATTTTCCTTTTAAAGGGGCCCCCTGTCAGGTTCCATGTAAAGTGGTGGGAGGGTATATATACCCTCAAAAAGATACCAAGTGCGGGAGCAAGTCAGACTAGGGCTTTGTGCCTGGTTAGTCCTCATGGAGTTGTGTGCAATTTGACAATGTACTGTTTTCTGCTGCCCTGGTTGCACACGCAGCGGTTCGCGCAAGTTCGAAAAGCATCCTTTTGTAGCTCTGTTTAAGGAAGACACCCAGAGAAAGCCTTGGCCATGCAGCTGCAAGCCCTGCCAGTTGCCTTCCCTCTGCGTTGTTGTTTTTCCTGTCTGAGTTGCAAAGCAGCGGAAAAGAATGCGAGCGGCAGTCGGAGTTCGCATTCGGCAGCTTCAGTCAGGATGTGGCAAAGTGGAGTGAGCGCTTTGCTCTCTCATTCCAAAGACATTGTCCTTTTGGCGGTCTTCAATTTCCAGTCGTTCTGCCTTACTTGTCCTGTAGCAGGAAGCATGCCAATCAAGTCAACCGTGTATGCCTTGCTCGTCCTAGTTGCAACCCAACCAAAACTTCGACCCCTTCGACCGGTTCAGAGTTTGAAGCGACAAGGCCATGCAGTCGGACGAGAGCATGATGCTGCAGAACGCCTGTGAGACGCTGGGGAAACCCGGAGACGGCGGAAACATCATGTTGCGAGGATATGGCTGTGGGTCGAAAATAGGTACCCAAAATGCGAGCCCGGTAAATGGAACCAGGGACTAAATCCCGGGGGTCCCTCAGGGGTGTAATTTTGACCCATACCCGTATGGTTTCCGCTTGAGTCAGCCAGGGCTCTATGTGGTGGCGTAATGTTTGAAGGGAACGAAAGGAAATCTGACACTTGCCTTGAAGGTCATGAAGGTTCTTGCTGTGGTGTAGTCCCCAAGTATAAAGCAACTAATCCGAGGGAACTGACCCTAAAAATACTTGAAATCATCTGAATTCGGCACGAACAGCACCAGCTCAGGGGGAGAACAAGTGGGTGGCATCACTTTTGGATTGGATTTCGAGGATTTCGGCGACCAGCAGAAAGTCGCTCGCCTGTTCCAGGCAGATTTGGGCATAGTGTCCTCAACCATGGGATGAAGCTGATGGCTCTTCTTTCTTCGGGGTCCCTAAAATTCCAAGTTGGCAAACTGTACTGTTGAGAGTAACCCAGATGTGTCAGCTGAATTGAAGAGCAATAGCAACAGTTTCTTGGAAAGGGTACTGGCACATTGGCACATTTGGGGGAAGAAAGATGGGGCAGGCGTGAAATTGCAGTCACGAATGCACTCCCCAGATTTACACTGACCCAAAACGGGGGCTTTTTCCAAAAGGGATATTTCTCCGAAAGAATGTGTCGTTGGGTTCCACGTTCAGCTGGTGGCTAGATGTGTGGCCAGTTGGACTTGCCTTGTCACTGTACGGCGAAACCCCGGCCCAGGGTGAGCTGTTTGCATCCTGACTGTTTTGTTGCTCGTTTTGTCAGCCTTGGCACCCCTGAGTGTCGTTTCTGAGGGCACCCTTTGTGGGGCTGTTCAAATAGGACCCGCAAACCACCTGTTTCGCTTTTCCTCTCGGAGACAGGCCCAGCTGCTTGGTTTCTGTACACCTTTGGCTAGCTTTGGTTGCCACCGAAAATTGCTGACTCGGGGTGTTTCTTGGTGGTATCCCTTTTTAATAAGAGAAACCACACGGAACACCGTTGCGCCATTTTTTTTGGGGGGGCGGGGGTCCAAAAATCCTAAAGACAAGGCCCCACTTACGAGCTGAGGCTCGTGTCCCTGGCCAGCCCGGCGTGGTTTGGCACGGCTGCAGGTGGAAACCCGCAGAAGAGGAACGCGTCCGCATTTGAGCTACAATCAAAACCCGGGTGGATGAAGGTTAGGGGGCAATCCCCCAACCATAAATAGCTGCGGATCTCCGCCTTGGTACTTTACATGGTTCTGGGATTACGACCACTTACATACCGGGTTTTGATTATGATTCATTTTTGGTTGCCAGAGGGTCCTTTGGATGTGACCTTTGGAACCAAGTGAGCCCAAGAACTGGGGTTGAAGCCGGTTTCCTTGAGTGTCCCTAGGGGTCTAGTTGCTAGCCTTGTGACGAGCAACCCTGAGGTTTCTTCCGGATCCAGATTAAATGGGTCGGGATTGCCCCCAAAAAGGTGTCCGTCAAAGTTTTCGGCGCGGCAGCCAAAGTGATCGCGCTGGATTTTCGGCCGAAAATTCCTGCAGTCCTTTTTGGACCAAATGGACTCCACCGTTTCAGCTCTGGGAACGTTGCCACACCAGCACCCTCCAAGCACCTGAAGTGCCCTTGTGGCATGTTGGGGTGCCAATTCGCATCTAGAAGGACCGATTCGCATTTTGAGAAGCCACGAACCAACCACCAACGCCGGTTTTCCCGCGAAACCGTATGCTTTCAATGCAACTTCCAGTTGCCTTCCAGAATATTGTGTTGAGTGGTTTTTCGCTGTCGGCTTTAACAGACATCTACCCTCTCTCCCAAGTTGCCATGGCACCTGACAAGGAAACGGATCTTCCAGAATATGTTGTTATGACCTATCACTAGCGGACTTATGTGTGTTTCCCGGGTGCTGCACTTCGACTTTGGCAAGTATTGGCATGTTTTCGTTTTTTGGGTTCTGCCTCATGTTTGGTGAGGGGCTGCCCAACAAAACAAAGGTTTGTTTTTGCGTACCATACCAAGGGCAAGCAAAATGGAAACACTTCCGGAATATGTTGTTATTGTTCCCTGGTTTTTCTGGGAACCTATCACTGGACAATTGTTCTGCCTATTTCATAGTTACCCTGACAAAGGCCTTTACTTGAAGGGCCCTTTAAAAAGCAAAAAACAAGGACTGCACACTCAGCCATAGATGTTTTTTCTGCAGTTGGATTTAAAGGGAACCTATCTTCTGTTTTTGTTCGCCTGATGTTTTGCTAATACTCAAAATCAAGATAAACAAGAAGAAGCCACAAAACACACACAGACAAAATACTAATAAAGCACCAGAAACGGCTCTCGCTGCTCTGGTCGGTTTTTCCCGGCGCCTTGCGCGCCGAAACCCAACAAAATGCCGCCAGGTGCAGAGGGCCCCGGAGCCCGCGGCTCAGCTGCTGGAGCCTCTGCTGCGCTTCGCGGAGCGGCTGCTGGGCCCGGACCTGGACGCGCCTCGAGCGGAGCCGAGCGGCGAATCGGGCGGTTCGAGCGGAGCCGAGCGGCGAATCGAAGCGGCGGGGGGTTGGAAGCGCCGGAGGGTTTTTGTGTTGACCCCAGAAAGGCGTGCCGACGGTTTTTAAAAAGGCGCCCAGAAAAGGATGAGTATGGCGACCCGGGTGGTTTTTCGTTGATCCTTGTTCTTTTTGGAAGGGGAAGGTGTTTTTTTGCGCGGAAGTGAGCCAGACAAAAACATGAGATGCCCCGGTTTTGCTTTGCCCCCCCCATTGGGCATCTGAGTAAAAGACGGAAGACAAAGAGGTGGTTGGAAAAAAGCATGCTGAGGCCCGGCCAAAAAGGCAAACAACGTCACATGTGACACCCCTGGACAACGCTTACAGTCCGTTCAAAGCATGTCGAACGCCTTCAAAGCAAAGGAACCATGGCCGTGTTATAATCCAACTGGCTGTGGGTCAAAAATGGGTAGCCAAAATAGAAGCCTGGTAAATGGAACCAAAGACTCAAATCTGCGGTCCATATCCTGGTGGTGTAATTTTGACCCACAGTCTAACCTCAGCCGCACCGACGCCAAGTGACCACTGATCTACTTCTAGTCTTGGTGCCAAAAGGTCATCCTGTTACTTCCTGATCCTTTGAGCACACCAGTAGATAGCCCAGAGCAACAAACCCGTCCCATTATTAGGGGGGTGTTCCCTCCAAAGGTGATGAAGCCACGCAAGAAGGGGACACCCCCTATTAATCAACCAGGGGTTTATTAATCCAGGGATAACATTATGAAACAGGCAGAAGGGCTCTTAGCTCGTGGGCGCCTACTATAGTGCCCTCCATTTGGTCGGGGTTTGCTGGCTTAGCTTTTACGCGCGTTGCGTTTTTTCAAGGAGACGAAGGAGTGAGCAAAAGGAAGGCCAGGGTTCACTTGCCTTTGCGTGCGCTTCTAGCGTGATTGAATGATTGGGGCGAGGCAAAGATCTTGATTCTCAAGTTGGCTCCAGCACAACTCACGCCCCGGGAATCCGACATAGATTTTTGTGGCATGCTTTCCCCTGTTTGTGTGAGTGTGTTAAGGAGACCCACACTCAATTGGGGGTTTTCAGTTGGTTTCCAAGCCAACCCAAGAAGGGTACCGATCCTCAACAAAAGACACACTCTTTTGTTCAGGTGGGCCTGGTCAAATCCAAGGGTTCCCCTTTTCTTCCACGTCTGAACTGTCAGGATTGGAGTCAGACCATTGGCCGAGCGAGCTTCGTGTAGGTTCCCACACAAACCACCTGAAAACTGGATGCTCCATAAGGGGCATGGACCCGCAAAATTGCTAGTGTCCATTTGGCTTCCTTCAAACCAATCCCAGAAAGGGTACCGCGCCTCATTTACAAACAGGGCCACATATTTTGCATGGCCCTATCTGAAGCCACCAGGTCGGATAGACCCCCACACTTGCCATCCAGCAACAAGGCATCCCTCAATTCCTGTTTTTTCCCCAAACAGTGTGTCTACACTAAGGGGTTCTTACGGTAAGAGAAAAGGCCTTGGTGCCAGATTGAGGTGCCCGCTCTGGCCGCGAGCGTTTTGCGTGGCATTTGCCGCAGATTCGTGCTCTTGCTTGATGTCGAAGTGCGTTTCGACTGCGCAGGCTCGCACAAAGTGAGTTGGCGACTTCTGTCCGCGAGCGTTTTGCGTGGTATGTACCGCAGAGTCGTGCTCTTGCTTGATGTCGAAGTGCGTTTCGACTGCGCAGGCTCGCACAAAGTGAGTTGGCGACTTCTGTCCGCGAGCGTTTTGCGTGGTATGTACCGCAGATTCGTGCTCTTGCTTGATGTCGAAGTGCGTTTCGACTGCGCAGGCTCGCACAAAGTGAGTTGGCGACTTCCTGGCGCGAGCGTTTTGCGGGTATGTATCGTGGTCCGGCGGCACGGGTTTCCGGCGAAAGGTCCCGGGCTCGATTCCCGCCCTGTCCGTGCGAGCTTGTTTCCCTTTCTTTGGGCATGCTTGGATGGTGCTTCTGTGCTGCGACGGCGTCTCGATGGTACTCTGAACAACAACACCCAAAATCAGCAATCGAGAACAAAGGAAGAAGCTACCTAGCTAGCTAACTCACTAACTCAGGCACCCTGGTGAAACAAACACACAGATCTTGCCTTTTGTAGTGATGCTTACACACACGCACACACACACACACACACGCACACACACACACACACACACACACACACACACACACACACACACACACACGCACAAACACACGCACACACGACCATGGCGCTGGCTTCGACACGTGTCTGCTGCATTCTCTTGCGCGTGTCTGTTCCAGGCCGTGTCCTTGTCTTTGTGAATGTGCGCGCAAATACCGCAAAATGATGTTGCAGCTTCCTGACAACAACCGCCGTTTTGCGGCGCAGCCCGCACAATACTCTGCAGCGTGTGACCGCCGCCTATCACTGTTTGGGGTCTCGTGCCGGGGTAATTTTGGACCTCCCCACCAGGAAAGTTTCAGTGGAACTCAGATGAACTCAGGACTTCAAGCATTCGGCAGCATTTTTGAACGAACAATCAGAGCTTGGTCTCCTTTGAAACTCACGGGAGCGCTAATTCAACCATACAGTTTCATTTGACATGGCTGTGGTTGTCAAAACCAATGGGATCCCATTTTGATTTTGGGGGTTTTCGGCACCACCCATTTGAGAACCTATTTTAGTGGTTGGATTGCTGGATGTAAACACTGGGGCCATCCCAAGGGCGCCGTTTTTTTGCGCCTGTTGAGCGACGTGTTTCCTTCGTCGTAAGCTAAGGACGATGCCTGCCTCTATGTGGGGCCGGGGCCATCGGATCGATCGGATCCGCCAGGGGAAGGAATTGGAGTCATTCCCTCTGGGCGAAAAAAAAGCGACCGAACACACGACCGAATTCACCCACCAAATGGTGGGCGAATATGTGGTTGGAATATCCCCCCCAACCGCAAGTATTTCAGGTGGGCGAAAAATTGAAAAATCACCGGAGGGAGATTCACTGGGAGTTCCCGTAGCTCCAGTTTTCCATTCATCCAAAGGATGTTCTGAGGGAAAAGCAGAGGGAAAGGCCGGAGGGAGCGATAAGTTTTCGCTCCGAATGGCAGGGGCTTGTTGATTCCCCTTGGCTCATGCCAGAATCAAAGTTGCAGAGGGAAGAGCCGGCTGTCCCAAGTGAAAGGTCGGGGATTTTTCAGAGCCAAAGCCGCGCCACTTGGAATTGGAACCGGCCACATGCCGTAGCTTTCGGATCACAGGAACCGAACCGCCCAAAACGGTTGGCTTTTCGCAGAAAGGGAACCCTTGGCTGCAAGCATTCGCCTTTGGTCCAATTCGGATGCCTTGGCTTTTTAAGAGTGATGGGTGTTGTGGTTCGAATTCTGAGTCAAGGCTGCTGCACGGATGGCCAATGTCGGCGGTCAGTTGGTGTCCTTTCCGTTTGCTTCGCTTCAGGAAGTGTTGTGATAGCGGCTGGGAAGCAATTGTTGAAGCAACGGGGACCTTGCAAAGGGGCTCGGTCCGGAGTTTCTGGGCCCCACAAGTTGGCTTCTGTAGGAGTTTCCCTTAGTTGCACTGACTTAGAAGCCCAGATACTTCACTTCGCGCCGGGATTTATCAGTGGATACTCATTGATCCGGCGGGCCGGTGGCCTTCTGTTGCACCAGGAGTTTGATTGTTGCTTGCGAGTCGCATCTCATTCCGTGCCCACCCTGTGCAGGAAAGAGGTTGGATGCGCCACGCGTCCAAGGGCTCGGAACCATAACATCAGAGATTGGGTTTGTTTAGAGGCTACCTCTAAAGGGAAACCACCCAGAGGGTTCTCTCAAAGACAAACCCATTGACAAGTGGACACATTCCCTGAATGTGGATGTCCAGCAGTTTGGGCCTATCAAAAAAATCAAGCATGGTGTGTATTCTTGGCAGTTCCCCCAAAATGGGTGGGTTGTCCGTTTGGTTTCCCCGAACAATCACCAAAAAAGGAAAGGGGTGCCCCCAAGGAAGACACGGAGGCACATCCCTCATTCGCTGCGAGCCCCTATGGCTTGAGCTTCGCAACAGTGGCAAACGCCAAACAAGCAAGAACAAAAACATATGTCAGCAGGGTTGTGGGATCAAGGGGTTTATCCCCACTTCTGTGATACAAGGGAATCCCCTCTTTAAATGGCAGGGTAGTCTTTGGGGGGTTTAGGTCTAGGGCTATGCTCCCAAAAGATTGCTTGGAAGCATCCTAGATCTTTCTTAGTTGGAATGTGGTTGTTTTTCTTATAAGGCCAGCCGTCTCAGCAAAGGCGTAGACATGTCGCCGACACCAACAAAGAACTTGACTCGCAACTCTCGAAATCCGCCCAGCGGTGGCGGGGAAGCGAAACCTGCGCTATGGCGCTTCGATTGCTGACCTTCAACATTTGGTTTGACCACCATGAGCTCGCAAAGCGCATGGAGGCGGATCTGGTGTTCAGTTGCTCCTGACTTGGAACTTGGAACTTGGATATGCTCGTTTTTTTTTGGGGGGGGTACCCCTGTTTTGGTTGGTTTTAATGGACAACCACAAGGAGAAGAAACATTTTTCGGGGGGTCCGCTTCCCCAACAAAAAGACACCCATTTGTTTTGGGAAGATTAGCAGCAAAGGTGTTCAGTTTTCGGGCAATCGTAATCAGAACCGCTCGATATTAAAATTACTTACCCAGAATCATGTAAATCAAAACGACGGCGAAGGCACCAATTTATGGTGGGGATTTCCTCTAACCCTCATCTACCCAGGTTTTGATTGTGGCTCATTTGGACCCTTGATAAATGTAGTGGCCAAAAGGCTCCTTTCTGTTGAGACACAAGCACACAAGCATTCAGCCACACATGTCATCCCGCTGAGACCAAATATCGAAATCGAAGACCCGAACTAAATTGCAGAACACGTCCAAGAACCGTTTACGTGGGTGATTTTTGCATGAATTCATAGGCTCCTTCAGCATACAGCCTTCCTTTACGTACCCAGGATATGCTTGGCTTGTATGGCTTTCCCTGAGCCTAGGACCCTTAGGACCCTTTGTGCGGGAGGCCAACACGAATGGCCCACGTCACTGGCTTGTCCCTCTTGCTGAGTGCCTCAATTTGCACCGGATTTTACTTAACATGACCTCGGTTTTCTGAGGGTATCCTTTTCAGGTCGGTTTAAAGAGGAGCCAAGAAGGAAACAACTTCTTTTTTTGGTTTGGGGGGGGGGGTGCCCTAATTTTGGACACATAGGTACCCAAACGGTTCGAAGCCGTTTGGGTGGTGCTCAGGGAGTACCCAAATCAAGCTGGGAAGCCAACCACCTTCTTACGGCCCTCGGCTCGCCCCAGCGCAACCGAAAATAGTGCTGGGGGTTTACCCTGTTTAAAGGAGGGCAGTTAATACATGTTCCCTTTTTTGTTTTAAGAAAAAAAGGAATCATCGTGCTCCATTTAGGGAAGGCAGAGTCGGGAGCACAAGTAGGGTCACGCAGACGGGTCTTAGAAGCCCTCTGGAAGATGTTTGTTTGTTCTTAGGATTGGAGGACACATGATGTGCCATCACAAACACATGTTGCGTGTTTCTTTTTCTACACACACACGCACACGCACAACAAAAAGCACCGAACCAGCTGGTGGATCGCTATGAGACTTGCATTCTTCAATCATAGGATGCGTTTGATGTCACAGCTGTGTTTGTTCTTAGTTCATTGATTCGGTTGCACGACTCACCTGGTCATTTTAGAACACCACACACTAAACCATCCTCAACATCCTTCACCCACGCGACCTCAGCCTAAACCAGCCTAGCCTAAACCCACCCTGAGAAAACCCTCTTTCACTCCTAGATCAACAAATCAGCACTCGTTAGGGTTTCAGGGTTGGTTCCGGATTGGGTTCATCTTGGCCGCAAGCTAGGATCTTTGAAGAAAAAGAACCTGGGATTTGGCGATGTTGTTTCCCCGTGTCGACAAAATCGCCTTTTGGGCCTGCTGTTATCGTCGAGCGAGTCTGCACAGGTCGCCTCGAAAAATCCACCCGCTTTTGTTTCGAGGCCATCGGCGACCTGGTGGCGCGCACCAAGCCTGACCTCATCGCATTGCAGGAGATTCGGGACGGAGCGGTAAATCCTGCCCCAACGGGCCCCAACGGGCCCCAACGGGCCCCAACCTAACTTACATGAACCTTCTGAACGGCAATATTAACCGCTGGTAGCTGAATCCCAAGGGCCCTAGGACCCGGACATTTGCATGATGAATCTTCGGAAGGGCAAGTAAATGGTGGTTATATGAACCCCTTGGTCCTACCCTGACTCCCAGAGTAAACCTCGGGCCAGGGAATGTCCTTTTTGTTGGTCCGGATGGGAACCACCCCGCAGAATCCATACAAGATTCATTTCGCAGGGGTCAACATCATTTGCCGTTGGCTTTGGAGCGAAGCAAATCGCGGCTCAGACCTTCTGGAACACCTGAGCCACAATCAAAACCCGGGTAGATGAAGGTGGGTAAAGGGAATTCCCAGCCAGAATTAGTTGCGGCCGCCTTTGTAGTTCACATTGGTTTGGGTGCACCATTTTAATACCCGGTTTTGATTGTGACTCACCTGGGATCTCCATTGAGCCTGAAAAAGGGTCCCGACTTTTGGCTCGGAATGACCTGAATGCAAGGACCTGAGGAGCTTATCGCTGGTTGCCCCAATGGGTCAGCTTACTTGAGACGCTTTCAGGTTCGCAGGTCCTCTTGGTTGGCTGGTTTCTTTCTGGGTTTCTGCTTATGTTCAAGGCACGCAAAGGAGAGCTCATGAAAAAAAGATGTCAATAGTTCGGCGCGCCGCCGATGCTGGATGCCTCTTGGGTGTCAGAAGGGGGCCAACAAGTGAGCGAATTTGGAACCCGACATTTGTTGTCAGCTTGTTGAATATACGGGGCTGAACAATTACTATAGCATGTTGCTCCCATGATCATGGCTTCGGTAGGCTTTTGAAGTACCCCCAAACCCATTGTTTTTTTTTCTTCGGCCCTTCTAGCACCCTATGAAGGTTTTCGTGTGAAGGGGAGTTCGGGAAAAGCCCATCTAATTGAAGGCCCATATCGAATTTGCAGACCCTTCCAGCACCAAGACCATGGTACTGTTGACCCCATATCAATCAATCCCCTATGAATGGGGTGTCCCCTTCCAACAATGGTCTGATTCCCCACAACCAGGGACCCCCCCATACCAATAAACAGAGGTTGAATAATCTGGGGTCCACAGTTCTAGGGGCACCTTCCCCATTCTTTCCAGGCATCCTTCTTTCTAGAAACCAGCCAAAACCCTGGCGAAACAGCTGGTTTTTGAAAAGAACGATGGTTGAAAAGAATGGTTGGAATCAACCCCTAGAACAGTATTCCTTTTGGAGGAGTGGGTGTTAAAGGGAAACCAAAGGAACACCACTTACTGTTGGGGGGGTTGTTTTTTGTTCTTTCTTTTTTTCTTCTTTTTTTCTGGAGTTGGTACCCCCGTTTTTGGTTATTTGGGTATGGGTCAAAATTAAACCACCAGGGGACCGCAGGTTTTAGTCCATGTTTCCATTTACCAGGTTCCATTTTGGGTACCTATTTTTGACCCACAGCTGCCTGGCAGGAGATGACGGCAGAGCATTGGGCGGCCTTCATCCGCCACGAGGCCGTGCGGGGATATCAGTGGTCGGAGGCCCCACGGCGGCTCGGCGAGCGAAGGGAAATTGAAAATGGGGACCGGCTCCACAGCAGGTTGGCTTGTCTTGTTGTCTGCCTTGCTGTGTCTTGTCTTGTACTGTCTTGTTGTGTCTGTCTTGT